GTATGTACCAAGTAGAATTAAATTTTCAGCCTGGTAATTGAAATGGTCCAATATATAGTGTATGATCCCTGCTTGTGGAAATATGCCAAAAGATGGAATCTGTGATTTTAAAAGGTATGTCATATGCTATTTGTATAATTAACGGTTTTTTAAATTCATATGTAGGGTTATGATGTGTGTAAAATTGGTTTTATATGTTTTTAGTTGACTGAGGAGGGGCGAAACAAAGCCCAAAACGTGTGTATAAGCGCATATCAACAAAAACTGAAATAAACGAATGTTGTGCCAAGTGTTGGTTATTACGTTAAATTGCAGTTTAAAAAAATAAATATAAAGACACAACATGGTTTCAAAATATGGAAGGAGAAGAAACTATATAAAAAAATACAAATATGTCACACTAACCTTATATAGCTTTGCACTTAATTTTTGGAAGTTAAATCCAAAAATTGGAAGCCAAATCAAATTTGAATCAGACCACAAAAATTTTTATAGAATACTCAAAGAAGGTCCTAAGGTGGATTGAAAACGTTAGCATTACATTTCAAAAATTAAATGCAAAGCTATACAAGGTTAGTGTGATGTATTTGTATTTATTATCACTTTGTTCATATATAAAATCAACTCTAATTATGTGTACATATATAAACACACAATTATAGTTAATTAAGCTAGATATTAATATTATACTTAATTCTAAAAATATTTAAAATTACTTGAATTGTATTAAAGTTATAAAATTGAAGCTTCATAAAAATTTGTTTTCATAATTTTACATTATTTTTTTTATTCCGTACAGTATTTATTATTCTGATTCTCATTAAAGCATAGAAATGCTTTTTTTTTTTAATTCTTAAAAGATGCTTATTAACAGTATTATATAATTGAGAACTTTTAAAAATATAATGTTAATAGCTATTAATAATATTTTAGGACCAAAGAAAATACATTCACTAAGAATTCTGGTACACTACTTTGATGCTGCTACTTAAATTTGGTAGAGTTAGTTTGAGGAAGGCCAATGCTAATCTTGCCTCTTTAATAAAATCTATAGTTTTTTAATTTTCACTTAATGAGGGTGGTCAAGGCTTATATCATACACATTAATTCAAAGTAGAATAAAACTTACTTTTTACTTCACTTTAGAATTATAGAATTCTTGTTATTAAAACCAGAAATAAAGAGTTTGATTACATGGGAATTACTGAAATGTTGAGCTTCAAAATTAAGAAGCACAGTATAGATAAGATTACTAATAAATTTCTGCTAGAAGTGATGATTAAAGATTCAGTAGTGCTTTGGGATAAAATAGAACGGAAAGAAAACTGACCAACACAATAATGTCAAGTCAGAAGAATTTGTCTGAAATGTTAGCTGATGTGGCTATGATATATATAACTCTATATGCTTGCCACTCTGAAGAACCCAGGTTTGAGTCAATGTCAGATTCTCAGGAATGTTTCTTGGATAGTTTGGCCTGGAAATAGTGACTCAACCTTCATCTGGCTGCTCTATTATGGGTCTGATTAAACCTTTAATGGACAAGTTTTAAAAGTCCACTTAGTACCTACAAGTCAAGAAGAATTAAATAATAATAATAAATATAATAAAATAATCTGTCTAGATTTATGGAAGAAATCTGAAACAAAATGTTATAAATGCCAAATATTTTAACTATCTTTCCAACCTTTGGAAATAGTTACATTTCAAGATGAATTTTAAGATTAAAAAATT